GAGTACCCAACAGCCCTGCAGTGAGTACCCGCACAGCCCAGAGCTGCCCAGAGAAGCTGTTGGCGCTTCAGCGTGAGAGTGTTTAGCGTTAGACAGCGTGATGGTGTTCGGTCTGAAATGTTGGAGTTAATGTTGCCTGAATTTATAGAATCGTAGAATCGTCAGGGTTGGAAGGGACCTTAAGGATCATCGGATCATCTCGTTCCAACCCCCTGCCATGGGCAGGGACATCCCCCACCAGATCAGGCTGCCCAGAGCCCCATCCAGCCTGGCCTGAAAAACTCCCAGGGATGGGGCTGCCACCCCCTCTCTGGGCACCCTGTGCCAGGGTCTCCCCACCCTCATGGGGAAGAAGAAGTTCAGTCTGAACTGATCCATCTCTATCTTTAATCCATTCCCTCTAGTCCTGTCACTGCCCGACATCCTCACAAGCCCCTCAGCAGCTTCCTTGTAGCCCCCTTGAGATCCTGGAAGCCACAACAAGGTCTCCTCGGAGCCTTCTTTTCTGCAGACTGAACAGCCCCAGCTCTCTCAGTCTGTCTGCACAGGAGAGCTGCTCCAGCCCTCTGAGCATCCTCGTGGCCCTTCTCTGGACACGCTCCAGCACATCCATTTCTCGTGCTGTGGGCTCCAGAACAGGATGCAATTTCAGTATTTGTCCTCATCTGAACTTGTTCTGTTTATAATTGCAAACAAGGCGTTACCCCAGAAGCCGCAGGAAAGGCTGCCTGGGGCCTGCCTTCCACCCCTCGGGGGTGGTGAGTGTGTGACACCTTCTAAAATGCTCTGAGCCAGTGGAGGCTGAACCCTGGGACCAGAGCAGGGCTCGGTGCTGCCACTCCACTCCACACAGCAAGCTGGAGTGTGCTTAAAAACAGCCTTGAATATCCCCTGCTGCTCCACCTGATCCTTCCCGCGTGCGGGTTCCCTCAGAGCTGGGGTGTGAAGCGACACTGGACGGTTTCGTTGCTCTTCTAGTTTCCTCGCCCTGCCAGTGCTCCCGAAACCTGAGCCAGAGTCTCTGCTTTCAGGAGTGAAAGTGTGGCTCGGTTTATCTTTCGTTACGTTTGGCAGCCCCAGAAACACTGTGGTAGTAACTCAGCGTCCTGGGAGAGGCCGGGACCGTAACGTGATTTAATTAGGTGTAGCGCAAGCTGAAAAAGATGTGCTTCTGTCTGTGGTTTTGTTATCTGTCCCTGCTCAGGTCGCTTTAATTAAGGTTGAATTCTCCCAGTTCCAGTACCTCTCTGCACTCTACTCCCTGCTTCCAAATCTCTTCTTGTTGCAGTGCTGAGGATTTGAGTCCTTTGTGTTTCTGTTTTCCTCCTTCTTCTAGAAAAAGGGATAATTAAATCCCAACAAGTCTTCGATGTGCTTTTGGCTACAGACAGAGGTCACTACATCAAGTATTTCCCCTACATGGATTCCCCTCAGTCTATTGGTGAGTAACTTAAGGCAAAATGTCACCACATCAGCACAATTTTAGGGGAAAGCAGGGAATTATGCAATTAAAATTGCCAATTTCTTTATCGCATAACTTTTGGCACTTGTTTCTTTTTAGGATACAAGGCCACAATCAGCGCACCGCATATGGTAAGACGGGAATTTTCACTGTGAACAAGAATGGAGGAAATGAAATTCTTTTCTTAAATACTAAAGTAGAAAGGTGAAGCGTCCCGTGGATACAACAGGCACTGTACATGTGAAGCTTTTTTCTTTTTAAGAAGAGTTTGCCCTGTACTCTTTAGGTTGCTCTAGAAGTATGCTTAGATAGAAATTCTGGGCAACTGAGGCTAACCATTAAAGGTTTTTTGCATGAGCCCTTTTTTCCCTGCTCCTTCACATCTTATTGCTGTCCTGCAAAAAGATGTCCCGGATCAAACACTTGAATTTCCCTCTCGGTGTGTCAGACAAAGCCCCAGGTACGCTGTGTTTAAATCAGAGCAGTTCATGCTTAGAACAAGAAGAAAAAGTTTTAGGAAAGGAAACCCACAAGGTGATGTTTCATCCCTCCTCGTGCATGTTTCCTGTGCAGCATGCCCACGCGCTGGAATTGCTGAAGGATCAGCTTGTGGAAGGTGCGAAAGCGCTGGATGTGGGATCGGGGAGTGGATACCTCACTGCTTGCTTCGCCAGGATGGTAAGATCCCGCCGCTCCGTTTCTAGCTCGGGAGGCGCGTCGAGCTGGCAGTGTGCCGGAGCTCACCTGTGCTCTTTGTGGAGGGAGGAAGAGGAGGTGGGAGGAAGGGCTAAACTATTTCCAGACCGGATTGTAATAAAACCAAATATAGTCATTTTTTGGCATCTGCGTGGGTGCTGGATGAGCTGTGAGGTGTTTTGTATGTTAAACCAGTGCAGGTCAAGAGGGCTGTGTTCACCTACCGCACAAGTCCAGCGTAGGCTCTTTTTAGTTTCCTTCTCGAGTAGCCACAGGCTCGCTCTTTGTTTTCTAAACTCCTGAAATTATTTTCTGTGAAGTGCTATAAAGCTGGTCAAGTTACTCTTCTCAGGAGTGAGTTAGTCAAGAACTGGCCCTTCCATGGAAGCTGCTAATTTTACCAGATAAGGATATATTTGTAAATGAAGTATTATTGGGAATCTGTATATCCCTCAGTTAGCTCATATAACTGGGAGTACTCAGCCTCAAAACCAAGGAGGCAGAGTATTTTCCCCTCCCGTTTGGAAACTCTGCTCTTAAGTTTCTTTCTGGAAGTTCTCCCATCCCCAGGGTAACTTGCCCTCTCAAGTACATCTCCCTACCGCATCAGAGGTGTAGAGGTGTTTCTCTGCTGGTTTCCCTTTCAGATGGGCCCGACAGGGAAAGCTGTGGGCATAGACCACATTAAGGAGCTGGTACACGAATCCATCAGAAACGTCCAAGAAGATGATCCGACTTTGCTCAGCTCTGGCCGGGTGAAGCTTGTGGGTGAGCTCTCTGGGATCCAGGCACTCCTTCTCTCCAGTGAACGTGTTGGCTCTGGCTGCCTGCAGAGCTCTGCTTGTCGAGCTGTTCCCCTCTGTGTTGGTCCTTGCCACGGTGCTGCCAGAAACCACTGGCTGAGTAAGCGCCGTGCTGCGCTGACCCGAGCGCTGCGGTGCTCAGTGCTGCAGGCAGTCTTGTCGTACCCCTTACCTTCGGCTTAATTCAGCAAGAGGCGCTCTTCAGAGGAGAGGGGTGGTACCATGTCTGGGGTGGAGTTGATGTGAATGGGTCTGCGCACACTGTTGTGTTTTGTGAAGGAGGTTAATTCAAGTCAGATCTTTCTGTATCTGCACAAAGCCAGCATTAATGAAAGGCCCTCTTGGCTTTGACTGTTCCTACTTCTCGCATGGCTCAGTTCCAGAAGTCTCTCCCCACTTTTGAGAGAGTAAAGCAAAAAAACTCAGATTCCCATCACAATCTTGTTACAAAGTTTTTTGTGGCCTAGATTTCAGCTGGAAGGATATGGGAAGAATTATTTTGGCCTGGAGTTGTTATCAGACCAAAATTCTTCCCTGCACGCTTTTTCCTCCCGTAGTTGGGGACGGCCGGCAAGGGTACCCCGAGGAGGCCCCTTACGACGCCATTCATGTCGGAGCAGCAGCACCAGCAGTACCAAAGGAGGTGAGAGCGATCGGGCTGGACGTCTGTTGCTGTGGCTGCTGCATCAGTAGCTGTGAAAAAACCTCAATTAGGGAACCACTGGAAGCTTCTTTTTCTGTCTGTTTTCTGTAGCAAGTTTGTGCTTTTCAAGGTGTCATGACCTTCACAGGTCGTCTCTCTTCTTGGCTCTGCTGATTCCGATTTCTCTGCTTGCCAGCTGCTGAATGAATTGAAGCCAGGAGGTCGGTTAATATTGCCTGTTGGTCCCGAAGGTGCAAACCAAGTTCTGATGCAGTACGACAAAACCAGCGACGGGCAGATCATCGAAACGCAACTGATGGGTGTGATCTACGTTCCTCTGACAGATAAGGAAAAGCAGTGGCCTCGGTAAAAATTTGCTCTCCCTTGAGGAACGTTTCTTCCTCAGAGCTGTCCCTCTGAGCTTGCTGGCTTTACTGACAGAACGAGTCCTGGATTCCTAGCAGATGCTGTTTGTGAAAGAGAAGAAAGAGGCTTGGCTGTGGTAGGACACAGCAGGAGAGCAGGATGTGTTTTCCATTAGATAGGGCTTGCAGACTGAGGACTCAAGCTTTGTTTCTGTTTTTGTTTTTCGGAGCCTGTGCGTTTTCATAAACACGGTAGCCGTGTTGATTCTGTGGCTGAACTGGAGGCTGCACATGGTAACTGTTGGTTTTTCTTTGCCTCAGGGATGAATTCTGACGGATGGATATCTCTAAAGTGACCTCAGAGAGCTCATGAATGGGACTTGGGACTGTAGGTGGTCTGTATGGCTTTGGGTTTGGAACGGAAGCTTTCTCAGTGGACATGCTGGTGAAGGCAAGTTCTGCTTTAGCAGAGCTCGTTACGAGGGATGGAGACAAGGGGGTTTCTCCGGGAGCAGGGGAAGGCTCTTGGAGGCCTTGTCTGGTTCTGGGCAGTGAGTGGATCCGGATAACTCCAACTACCTTCTCTGATAAACCACAGATAACATCTATTCACAGAGAATTCCAGAAGCAGGCAGGAATACTGAAACTTTCACTAAAAGTACTCTGTAATACTGACTACTGTGCCTAATGCTTGAAGAAAATAAGATGCAATTACTGTTTCAGAGCAATGATCCACCATGACTCGTCAAAGTTTAATTATGAGAGCGTGTCTTCCTCCTTTCTTGCATCAACTAATTTAACCTTTGGTAGCAATACTGAGAATGTTGGGGGTTAAGAAAGATCCCGGTCTCTCAGCTTTTCCCTTCTTCTGCCACAGCGGGAGGGTGGGAGGGCGGCCTGCAGGGAGGAGGGTTAAGGGGCACTTCTGGAGTGAAAGAAAGACGTTGATATGCTCGAGTGGGACCGGAGAAGGGCAGCGGAGCTGG